ACTTTTTTTTGGTTGGGGGTAGTTTTGGGCAACAGGACAGTGAGTGAGGGGTAGCTGGGCTGACCCATTGAGCGCTTGTGTGTTATACTGTAGATGGGCATAACTTTTTTTTTGGTTAGGGGTTAGTTTTGGGCAACAGGAGGGTGAGTGAGGGGAAGCTGGGCAGACCCATTGAGCGCTGTGCTGTGCTGTAACACCAGGCTCCCTGCATTAGCGGAGCTGCAGCGCTCTATCAGACTGAGCGACTGGTTCCGGCTCACAGACAACGGGGACATGGCGTCGCTCATTCAGCTGATGTGCTGGCCAGGAGACTGGGGTCTGCCCTCCGTCCACACCGACTCTCTCATCATATTGGTAAAAAAAACCCACCCTAATAACGAGCGAACGCTTTTCTTAAAAGGGCGGTCAGTCGTTCAGTTGACGCACACGGGGTTTTGCTTTTGTCTTTCAAACGCGTAGCGTGCGTGTTCCAAATCGTTTGCTGCCGTGCCCGATAGAACAAGAAAAAAAAGATGCGTAACCTTTCACAGAAATTAAAAGCAAAGAAGTGAACTAATAAAGGGTCGCAACCGCGAAGTGTCCTCTGTGCGTGTTATTTTCTGCAGCCTGGGCCGCATAACCTGCCTGTCAAGGTCAGGCGGCCTCCAGCCAGCACCGGGGCGGGGAGGGGGTGTCAAGGCAAAGGAGGAGGGAATAGATGCAATATTTGCATTCTGGATCTCAATTAATGAAAACTTAGCAGGAGCTGCTGTGTTAAAGCGTTTGGGAAATGTAACTTGACTGGAAGTATCATTTTGCTGTGCTGCAGAGTTCCCATTGTGACTCAAACCTGCCAGCAATAAGGAAGTTCTTCAGTAATGATTTGTTATCAAAACTATGAGAATGAAGAGATGTGATTAAATTACAGTAGCCTGAAGATTGAATCCAAAATGAATGGCTTCTGCAGGAGTGTAAACTCTGCATTGTCTTTTTTTTATGACACTAGAGAATAAAGCAAGTTTGGAACTTTGTAGCTAGCATGGACTGAAATGTAGTGTATTACAATAGGGAAATACACATTCAGAAATTTTCTGTCTTGTATAAAATTGAGACCATCGCAAACTGTTCTGTGTTGTTCTAACTCAGACTAAGTTCTATTTTTCTGTACCCCTCTGCTTTCTGATCTGCATTGGAAGGAATGTTGGATTATAAAATTCCATATAGTAGTATTTAAATAGGCCCCATGACTTTTTAAAAATGTACTTTTGCTTAGTACCAAAAATAGATTTCTATAAGTTAAGTTATAATTTATCCAAAAATATTGTCATTATCAAAACAAGGTCCCATTTTACCTAAAATGACAAGGAAATGTATTTTCTTTTCGGTAGCCATGTAATTGGTATGTCTTATAAAACAGGCAGGTGACAAGAAGCTCAGCTACGTCTACAGAGCTCAAGACTCACTTTCCCTATCATTTTAACACCAAGATTGATTATTGCCCTAAAATGAACTGCAGCAGATATAATACTATGTATGCGGATGGCTTAATTCATTCTGTGTTAAAGCAGCCATCATGCATACGGCTCTGTGGTCTAAGCTCATAATTTGAGCAGAGATCTTGTAATATTTGTTTGGAAATGTTGAAATCAATTTTATTTTCTGTAAGTTACACTGTACTTCCTGTATCCTCACCAAGTCCACCATCCCAGTCCTTGCTGACATCTGTTGGCTCTTGGTCTAGGAAAGTCTTGACCTTATTTTTCAATCGCTAAATGACTTCGCCCCTCTCTATCAATGTAACACTCAGCTTTACCACCCACTGAAATTTCTACTCTTTTCCATATCTGGCCACTTGTGCATTCCCAGTGTTCTTTGCTGCGGAATTGATAGCCATGACTTTCTGCAGCGGCCTTAAACCCTTCTCTAAAACATTTTAATCTTCACCTGATTCTCCTCGCTAAAACTTCCTTTTGGTGACCTGACTTAATATTTCTTAATGTACCTTGGTATCAGCTTTCATCTTAATCCTCCAGTGCTGCACTTTGGGACTTTTTTAATTGCTGAATGTGCTGCTTTGTAAGACATGCCAATTACGTGGCTACCAAAAAGAAAATGCGTTTATTTGTCATTTTCAGTAAACTGTGGCTTTATTTTGATGATGACAACATTTTTGGATAAATTATACTTTAAATTACAGAAACGTATTTTTGGTACTAGGCAAAAAGTATATTTTTAAAAAGATAACTAGACTAACCATGTTGCTTGAGTGCTTCACATGTACAGTTCTCTCCAATATGGAATCAAGCAGTAACATATATAATGCTCACAGCATTCCCTGTGCAAAAGTTGCTGTAATCTAGAAGGTTTATTTACTTCGGCCAAGTCAAGGTTCAGGGTGTGACAGTAACCCAAAGAGATTTATTCTAAGGCCAAAACTGGGGCAGAATAAAAACAGCTTTATTCTTTATCTAATGCACTGGCAATGTTGAGTGAGTCCAATGAAACTGGCAGTGCAAACAAAGATTTTCATATAACAATGTTTCTTACTTGGCTGAATGGAAAATTCAACACCTGGACTCTTTTTTAAAGAAAAATGAAAATTACACTTTCTTGCATATAACGTTCACTTTCTTCTTCCATTGCAGGCATATGCCAAATTTTCACGGGCTCCTCTAAAAGTGCACTTTATTAATAATCCATGGAAAACACCTACAGGTACAAATTTCAATCTATTTGAATTGTAGGTTGTTTGTCTCTGTCGCCTCCCAAGGTCAAGAATTTCATGTCCTGTCCCGTCTCCCCACCAACCTCCCACCATCGAGTAACCAGGGACCAGAGTTGAGTTGTTGGAAATTTTGCGGCACGGTAGCTCAGTGGTTAGCACTGCTGCCTCACAACGCCAGGGACCTGGGTTCAGTTCCACCCTCGGGCGACCATCTGTGTGGAGTTTGCACATTCTCCCCGTGTCTGCGTGGGTTTCCTCCGGGTGCTCCAGTTTCCTCCCACAGTCCAAAGATGTGCTGGGTAGGTGGATTGGCCATGCTAAATTGCCCACAATGTTCAGGGATGTGTAGATTTAGGGGGATGGGTTTGGGTGGGTGCTCTGAGGGTCAGTGTGGATTTGTTGGGTCGAAGGGCCTGTTTCCACACTGTAGGGATTCTATGATCTATGATCTATGATCTATGATTCTATGAACTTGTTCATAGAGTCCATATCTTTTCTTGGGAAGCTGTTGGAACTTTGATGAACAATGCAGTATTGCGTCACACAGAAGGGAATGTTATAAATAGTGAAACTTAGTTTTACTGTTGTGACTTTTACTCCTTTAGGAGACATTCCAGTATTAATTTCTGACAATATGAATGTAGTGCAACCTGAAAATATTCTGAATTTCCTGAGAAAACAGGTATGGTTGTTGCTCTTTGCTAATTAAATGAAAGTGAATACTTGCAAATTAATTGAAAAAAAGGCTTGTTTGATTTTACTCTTGTAAGGGATGTGTTGGGAATGTTAAAGTCATATAAAACATTGAAATTCACCAGGAGAAATGTAAGATGATTTGTTTTGGTAAGAGGAATAAGAAGGTCACTTATTCCTTGGAAATTAGACTGACTGGGGTAATGTGGGAAAGTGATCTGAGAGGACTGATACATAATTTATTAACAATATCAATGTAAGTTGATGATGTGAATAAAGAGCGTAAGCAATTCACTTATGTGCATTTTCAGTGGAATAGGATAGTGGAAAAGTGTTGAATCTGTATCAAAATTTAATTAAATTGCACAAGAATATGATATACAGTCATGGTTTACATACTAGAGAGGGAATATTGAAGCACAATAGAATATTCAGCAAAGATTTACAAGAATGTTACCAGAATTATTAGGGTAAATATTAGGAAAAAATACTGGGACTTTTTTTAACCTCTTTGAACAAGAGGCGACCTGATAGAGTAATGAAGGAGTTTGATATAGTAGATGTAGATAAGTGGTTTTCAACATTGGTAGAATCAGAACAAAGGGACATAATATAAGAGAGGCACAGCTGGAATAAATAAAATGAAATAGGTGGAATTGCATTGTGCAGAAAGTGAGAATGTGAAACTTGTCAGATGGAATAGTTGAAGCAGATTTGGCAGTTTTAAGGGGGAGATTTTTATGCATGTGTGAGGGAGAAGAGAATTACGACATACTGAGATGTGGAGCAGAAATAGGGACATGGAGCCATGTTGAGGGTTCTGTTCAGTTCTTAACAGAACAAAACCTAGGAGCAAATTGTCTTTTCTAAATTTATTTTCTGATTTATTAGCATGTACTCAAGATATTGGTAATTTAAAAATTCATTAGATTGTAATAATGATAGGTGTGAAGCATTAGTGAGAATATTGCAGTGCTAGATGATTTTAGTTGTGAAATTTATCAAATAGGACAACAGAGCAGGAAAGGCTGTTATGCCTGTTGAAGACAAACAGCATTGTGTTTGTCCCATTGTAAATTACAATCAACAAGAATTAAAACCTCGTTATTCATATAACAATTACTTTATTTACTTAATTTAACAGAAATACAACGCAGATTATGAATTAACAGCTAAAGAGGGAGCTGACACTCTGGCATTTATTGCACTGATAGAAGAGAAGTTGCGTCCTGCATTGGTAAATAATTCAAGCGTCTTATCCTCTACTGGTTTTCCTCAATTGCATGGTTAGCATTTATATTGCCATAAAATCATTATTTTTTAGTTTTGAGTTCTGTTTGTAATTTTAACTTTTATTTCTCCAATCTGAAACTGGATAGAAGGTATGGATAGATTGAGTGAGTGTGTAAAAACATGGTATATGGAGTTTAATGCTGGAAAGTGGAAGAAAAAAATCAAAAGGCAAACTATTTTTAAACATGTAGAAGCTCCCAGTAAATGCAGCAAATAGGAATCTGTGTGCTCTTGTGCATGAGACAGAAAAAGTTAGCGTGCACGTGCTGCAATTAATTAGGAAGGCAAATGGAATTTTGGCCTTTACTGCCAGGGATTTGGAGCTTAAAAGTAGTGAAGTCTTGTTACAACTGCATAGAGTGTTAGTAAGGCCATACCAGAAATACTGTGTACAGTTCTGGTCCCAGTTTCTTAAAAAAGGATATAATGACATTGCAGGCAGTTCAAAAACGATTCACGAGCTTGATTCCTGAGATGAAGGCATTGACTGTTCAAGACTGGTTGAACAGGTCTTTATTCATTTGGGTTTAGAAAAATGAAACATTGAAGATTTTGAGGAGGCTTGGGGAGATGTTTCCACCAGTGGAAGAATCTCAAACTGTGGGACATTGCTGCAGAATAAGGGGACATTCAGTTAAAACTGAGATGGGAAGAAATTTCTCCTCTGAAAGTAGTGAATAACTGAAATTAGAAACATATAATCCCTACAGTGTGGAGGCAGGCCATTTGGCCCATCGGGCCCATACAAACCCTTCAAAGAACATCCCACCCACCCTATCCTGGTAACCCTGCATTTTCCATGGCTAATCCACCAAACCTGCACATCTTTGGACTGTAGAGGAATCCAGAACACCCAGCAGAAACCCACACAGACACGGGGAGAATGTGCAAACTCCACACAGACAGTCGCCTGAGGGTGGAATTGAACCTGGGACCCTGGCACTCTGAGGCAACAGTGCTAACCACTGAGCTACTGTGCTATCAAGAGAAGAAATTTTTCATCTGTCATGGTGGGATTCAAACCGGGGATCCCAGAACATTTGCTGACTTTCTGGATTGATAGTCTAGCAATTATGGCACTGGCCCATTGCCTCTCCCGTATGTGGAGATTTGATCCTTTGAAAGTATTTAAAGAGGAGGTAGGTAGACTTTTGAAATCTCAGGGAGCTGAGAGCTATCAGGACCAGGCACTTAAGAAGAGTTGAAGCTGGGGCAGTTCAGCCATGATCTTATAGAATAGCAAAGCAGGTTTAAAGGAATGAATGTCCTCCTGCTCATATTTCTTATGATTCTAATGAAACTCCTGAATAAATCTGTATCTTTGGTTGGGGCTCCTCCTTTGTCAAATCTTGTGATGATCTGTCATTTAACCATATTATCAGGAATTTTTTGATCACATTTTCTCACAAAAACAATTTGAATAAAGGGTCTAGGCCCGAAACGTCAGCCTTTCTGCTCCTGTGATGCTGCTTGGCCTGCTGTGTTCATCCAGCCCTGCACCTTGTTACCTAAAAATACATTTAGCTTTTTATAAAAGTTGCTGAGGCAGGAGGGACCCTGAAGAGTCTTTCAAAAAAAAATCAAGATCTAAAGGAGTAAGTCTGTTAATAACAAGCAGGATGACTCACTGAAGTGCAGCAGTGCAGTATGTTTTGTAAAGATTGAATAAGTGAAGTTAAACAATACTGTTGCTTTGTACATTCACTCTGCTGTGGATCAAAGCAGCTTAATGATTTGAACCAAAACTAAACCCGTTTTCTCCAGTTTTGTCACCGGTCAGAGTAATTGAAGAAATGCACGTGCAAAAGAGACAGAGTATAATCTGTTCAGGGGATGTCGGCGTCACTGGCTCGCCTAGCATTTCTTACCCATCACTAAACCACATACTGGAGCTTGTAGGTGTTGGTGCTCGCGTATTGTTATGTGTCAGACAATTCTATCGTGCATTTTATTATAAATTAACACCTGTTAAAGTAAAATTTTTAGAACACTTAGGAGTGTCAGGCCATTGGACCTGAGAAGGTATCTACCCAACTCAGCGTTAAATCTGAAGTATTCTAAAATGGTCATTTATTTTTAATAGGAAACATTGTCTTCACATAGTATGAGCATGACAAGATTAAATAGATCAATGAATACTTTAATACTTCATCGTGATCTAATTCTGAGATAACTTGATTAAGTTTTAATATATTCAGTAGAGAAGTGACTCACTGTGCAATTCAGGATATTCTAAGGGAACCAGCTCATCCTGTATTGTTTAATGCACGTAATCGCAGATAAATTGAGTTTTATACCATTTCGTACAGCTGCACACTTTTTGGGTGGATATTGAGAATTACTGCAATCTGACTCGACCGTGGTTTGCTTCAAGAATCCCCTTTCCATTGAACTTCTACTTACCAGGGCAGATGTCAAGATCTGCAATGAATCAAATTGTTCTGACCAAAGGAGAACCACCTTTATACAACCTCAAGGAGGTGGAAGCGCAGGTAAGAGGGCTATCTAATCACTGATCATTAATAGGAAATTTCATATCATTGTCTTTTGGAAAGGTAAAGAGTACAGAATAGTTACATTTAACAAGTTAACATTGCAAGTATCAATCCATATATATTACATTTCTTATTAGAATCCATTTATGTAACATCTTCACTTCCTAAGTTTTCATTTTTAAGTTTATTTAAAAAAAACAGAATACACGGACAATAATGATCCCCACAGAACATGCACATTTATTTTTGACATTGAGTTTACAGACATTTCAAACTCAATGTAATTTTTCATCACAATCTAATCAACTCAAACAGTCCCAAACATACAGAACTTGGAAAATAAAAGAGATATGTTGTTGCCTTGTTCCCTTGTATCCTGTCCCCTTGTTCTCTCTAAGTGGGATATAGCTTGCATTCTGATTAAGACATTGTAGGGCACATATCTGGTTTCATCATAATATGTGTTAGAAAATGACTTTTGATTTAGGAGTTGAATTTAAATGTAGACAAATGGAATTGCTTGCTTGAGAAACTAGTAAACTCAGATCTGGAAGTTACAATTCAAAGGATAACCTGTGTCTTCTTAATAAGTCAGGTATGGAAGTAAGAAAACTTAAGCATTCAGTGATCTGTCTCTGAGCTTTTGGTAGGGGCAGAAGTGGGAGGTAGTGGCTTGGTGGAAATGTCACTGGCTTAGTAATGCAGAACACCAAGCAAATGCCGAAAGGATATTGGTTCAAATCCCACAATGGCAGATGATGAAATTTTAAATTCAATAAAAGAAAGGAATTAAAATCCAGCCTAATGGTAACCATGAGACCACTTTTGATTGTCATTAAAAACCAGCTAGTGTGATGAAATTTGGTGAAGGAAATCTGCCGTCCTTACCTGGCTTGGCCTACATGTGACTCCAGACCAGCAGCAATGTGGTTGACTCTGGGCAATAAGAATGAGCAATGAATAAGCACACCTCATGAATGAATTAAAAAAAAACTTCATTAAGAAGTTAAATTATGCCTGTAGTTCACAGATCAAAGAAATTAAAGGCACCTTTGTCAACGTGGGTGTTTCTTTATGGTACCAGCAAGTCTGGAAAGACAGTCATTAGCTCTAATTATTAATGTTATTTGAAGATAAAACATAATTAACATCCCAAAGGGATAAACCATTAAAAAATTTAATATTTGGAAATGAACATGCTGGATGTACTGAAGCTCCAGTTTGAAGTGCATAAGACGAATCTGACCAGTATATATTATTCACAAGTTTTACTGATTTTTCATTTTGGGATTTCTACTTGAAGACAGGGCTTAGATGTTTCCCATTGCCATGGAGAAGGGAATAGGAAAGCCATTTTTAGAATCAAGTTACAGGCTTTCTATAAACCTAAGAACATAATGGTCAGAGAGGTTTCAACTTTGGTCTTGCATAGTTTGCATCTTATTGAAAGCTGAGGAAATACATAAGTAATGGATATTAGCCCAGCCTGCAACTTAAACAGAAAAAATACCAACTTTGTAGTTCACCACCTGGAATGCAGACAGGAGTTTGTGGTCGGTTTGAAGACAGATTTTGTGAGGGTAGAAATAGCTGGAAGATTTGGTGAGCTTGGATGGAAGTATGAAGGATAAGACAAATTGGGCATTGACTTTAAGTCCTGACATACTAAAGTGTTGAGTTATTGGTGCTTGATTTGTTTAATTTCTTTAAATACATGCTATAAAGTTTGTTTTTGTTTGAACATGTAAATACGGAGTAGGAGGTTTAGAGTGGATTTGAGGAATTGCTTTTCATCCTGAGGGTTGTGTGTATCTGACACTGACTGACTGCCTGAAAAGATGGTAGAGGCAGGGACTCTCAAGACATTTCAGAATTATTTAGATGAACACTTGAAATGCCATAGCATACAAGTCTATGGGCCAAAGTGCTGGAAAATTAGATTAGAATAGATGGGCACTTGATGACCTGCTAATAAAACTTTATTTCTATGTGAGAACATGTGAAGTAATTTATTTCTGATAATAAAAGTGTATTCCCATTTCTCTTTAAACGTTATTGCTGTCTACAGTGTTTGGAATAGTGGTCTGGAGCTGACTAGTTTGGTTACCTCTTTTAATCTTTCCCTTCCTTACTTGGTATCTGTTTTCAATAGGTCTGGTTGTGAATCATCTTGCATTCAGAGAAGATGGTGCTGTAGTGATCATGTCACTGGCCTTGTCATCTAGATACCTAGGCTAACGCTCAGGGAGCATCAGTTCAAATCCCACCAGAGCAGCTGGTGGAATTTAAATTCAATTCATTCATAAAAACATGAATTATAAAGTTATTTTCCTGTTTCCAGTGTGGAGACAGTGATCATTGTTATGAAAACCCATCTGGTTCACTAGTTTCCTTCCTTAGGGAAGTATATGTATGGGGCATGAGGTGGTGGGTATACATCATCCCCCATGCTCTGTGTGTGCAAAACATCTTCTGTATCTTGTGTCAGTCATAACTGAGCTAATGCTTACAATGTTAATGATAAAGTCGTCTGAGGTTGATCAGTAAACTCTACCGGGGCAGGCTAATGGAGCTCAACTCAGAAGGCTATCTTTTGTGTTTTTGCCCCATGCAAGCCTTTGGTCTAAAGCTATCAGATATGTATATTACCCCTTTACCATTCTGAGGAAGGTTCTCCAGACCCGGAACATTTACTTTATTTTTTCCTGCATGGATGCTGCCAGACCTGCTGAGCTTTTCCAACAACTTTGTTTTTGTTCCTGATTTACAGCTTCCGCAGTTCTTTCGTTTTTTATCATGTACATTACCCCTAGTGGAGATGAAAGGTCAGTGACTTAATGGTGCAGGAGCTGCTGAGTATAGTAGCTCCTTTTTATGTTTTGTGTGTGAACACTGGTATATCTGTGAGAGACAGTACTGCTGCATTATCTGTCATGCTATACTGGTGGCTACAATGAAGTGACGGGCATTGACTGCACAGAAGGCACCAGATGGTGTGATGCCTGGCACCCAATATCCTGTGTGACAGTCTAGTGCAGTTGTGACCTTACAATGCTAACTCACACATTGGAGCGTGCAGTATTGAGTAGACAGTGGTACAGCACAGGTCATAGAGTTATAGTCATAGAATTATACAGAATGGAAACAGAACCTTCGGTCCAAATGTCCATGCTGACCAGGTTTCTCAAACTAAACTATTGACTGTGTTTTCATATCTGCCTAAACCTTTACAAATGTCTTTTAAATGTTGTAATTGTACTCATCTCTGCCACATCTCTTTGCAGCATGTTCCATATATGCACCTGGAGGTGATAAACTTTTCCCTCAGGACCCTTTGAAATCTTTCCCCTCTCACCATAAACCTATGCCCTCTAGTTTTGAACTTCCCCACCCTCAGGAAAAGGTGATTGCTATTCACCTATTTATGCACCTCGTTTGATTTTATAAACCTCTATAAGGTCACCCCTCAATCTCCTACACTCCAGGAAATAAAGGTCCCAGACAATCCAGGCTCACGCTATGACTCAAACCTTCCAGTCTGAGTAACATCCTTGGAAATCTTTTCTGAGCCCTCTCTAATTTAATAACATCCTTCCTATAGCAGGACGACCAGAACTGTATGCAGTATTCCATATGTGGCCTCACCATTGTCATGTACAGCTGCAACATGACGTCCCAACTCCTGTAGTCAGTGCTACGAGCAATGAAGGCAAGCATGCCAAACACCACCTTCACCACCCTGCTACCTGCGATGCCATCTTTGGATTGTAGGAGGAAACTGGAGCACCCACCGGAAACACGTGCAGTCACGGGGAGAATATGGAAACTCCACACAGACAGTTAACTAAGGCTGGAATTGAACAGGGGTCCCTGGTGCTGTGAGGTAGCAGTGCTAACCACTGAGCCACCGTGCCGCTGTCATGGTTTCTAGGTGGCTCTGAGCACAGGGCTCCATTCCCCCGAGCCTTGTCTGTGGCAATGGAAATGATGCCAGATGGCAGAATGATAATTTCAAGCTGACACATGCAGAGATGCTCATAACCAACCATCCAGTCAAAGTGCAAACATTTCCACAGAACACGAGCGTCACCTACAAACTATTGTCACCTGTGTCTCCAAAGTGCCCTCAACAAGATTTTTGCAAAGTTGGCCTGTCTCACCCTGAGGGTCCCAGGGTCAATGGGGTCCAGGTAAAGCTGAGGTGGGGCACCTAGCCACATGGAATCCTCCGAGACATACCTTTTCTGCAGGATTGTAATGCCTTCCCTAACCAACACTGCTGTGCCTCCTCATTTCCATTCCCTTCCTACTGTTCTTGAACACCCAACGTCCAGGAATACTGAATATCCTATGGTTTCCCTGAATCAAATCTCTGTTAGAGCCACAGCCTCATACTTCTACCTGGCAATCTGCAGCGGTGACTCACAGATCTTATTTACCACACACCGTACATTCATGTAGCTGCTTTAGAATGATTGTATCTTTCTGTTTTCCTGACTCCTGCTGTTCATTTATTACCTTTTATTCCTGTGCTGTCACTCCCTGTATTCTGTGCAGCCTGTTATTCCTGTCTGATCATCGCTCCTGCTTTCCGCTTTGGTTGAAGAAACAAAAAAAAAGGATAAAGTGTATTTCAAAGAGTGAGAGATGGTGAAGTTTGCAGGGAGACCTGAGCTGTCCTTATTCATGAGTCACTAAAAGCTAGCATGTAGGTGCAAGTTAGAAAACTTGCTTGCTGCACCTACACGCTAGCGATGGCCTAGTCATTTTACGTTTATGCCCCTCTCATTCTTATTCGTTTTACGAGTAGGAACAGCTTCTCCCTTTCTACTCCATCCAGTCCACATGTATCTGAAGCATTTCAGGTTAGTCACACATTGTTTAAACATTCATTTCTCTTCAGACATGAGCCATTTTTAAACAGCTGTAGTCCTGCAAATGTGCAAGGGGCAAAATCTAATTAACAAACAAAAAACCTCATTTCATCAATCTATTCGTTTACGTCTGAAGGGGGTCACAGAATATTCCAGAATGCAGGAATGTCTGAACTAAAATTGGCTATGCTTCATTTCCCAGTAAAATTTTGCCTTGACTCCAGAAACTACCTTCACCTGAGAGATTCTGAGCACCAAAATGAATCATTAGGCTCTAAAATGTACCACTGAAAGGAGATTGATTATTTTAAACAGTAAAGTTGAACTGCACAATGATTCAATTACATCAGAAAGGAGTAGGGAGGGGAGAAAAAGAATGATCTGGAAGCCAAGAAAGAGAGAGGGAGGGAGAGGGAAAGAGAGAGAGAGAGACCAAGAGAGAGAAGAGACAGTATCATTAATTGCTCTGGCACGCTCCATACAGTGTATTACTCCAGGTGTTTCTCTTTTCTCCTGCCACCCTCTTTTAACATTGGACCATTTAGTGAATATATCACCTCTTCTCAGATTCCAGTATCATTATGTATATTAGAGAGATGGAACAAAAATAAAATCTAGAAATCATTGATTGACCATTCTTTCGTTCAACCTCTTGTGCAGTAGAGCCGAGTTCTATTAAGTTGCCCATGGGTGCTGACCTCTACAGCCATCTCTGTCCAGACTGCCTTTATCAGTTGGCATGGCCTCTATGTTACCTCCATTTTCTCCCAGACAGCTTGCAGGAGACCCTCCCAGGAACCCTCGCTAAAACATGGCTCTGCTTTTTTGTTTGTCTGGTCTCTGACATCTCCGGAGTGGGTGGGGTGATGGACAGACACTGAGTGATGCTCTTTAGTTGCAGAGACTGAAGTGCATCATGGGTGCCTTTTTAAATATGGCGTCTGAATGTTGGAGCTGAGAGATTCTGACAAACTTTGGAACTTCCAGCGTATAAAATGTGATGTTTTGCATGCATGTGCATACGTAATAAGCTGAGGAGCTTAATCTAATCGCACCTCATTTTTGAAGCCCCTCCTGCTGTTTGGATCCAGAGTGAATGATACTTATTCTCAGAGAGAAAATTCTGCCTGATGTGTACTGTATCAAGGAGCTGGTAAATCATTCAGGACCAATTAGGAAGCTCCACTTTGCAGTGAGTGAGTAACAGATGGAGTGGTTATCTAGGGTGAGTTGTAAAGCCAAAAGCTCTTCAATCTTTTGAGTGGATGTGCTGCAGATACCCCAGGTGTCCGTGGAAGAATGAATTATGGGTCAAGGAGAAGATTTTCAGAAATTTAGGTGACAATGGCTTAATAATGGTATGGACACATTGTTATACAAGACAAATGATGCTTTTACAGTGAATTTCAGAAAGGATTGCCTCCATGATCTTGTCTGTTATCTATTTTCTCAACATCAAGTAATTAAACGTAGCCCACTTCAAAACAATATTGAGCTGACTTCAACTGTGTTATCTGGTTTCCATCAAAAGCTCCCAACTATGAACCGGTTCCGTTCATGTCCGCAGATACTCTGATTAAATCAAATGGAAAGAAAGCTAAAGTTCGACCAAGAGTGTAATTCTCATATATTTTGTCCATTGTCCAAATTGCTGATTTTCCCTTCTGCAATATTGCTTCCTTCTTCTCCGCTCTCACTAAAACTTCTGTCTGTGCTTCAGCTGCTTCCAGCCTTGCCTTTTCAGTCCTCTGATCCCGTACAACTTCCCCGAAATTTAGCTCATACATCGCTTCTGCACTCTCTGCTTTCTAGTGCATCAAATACAAAGTCTTACAGATCTGTTGAAAATCATCCGTGTTCTTGCATCCCTCCCCATCCCTGTCATTGCTTCTGCAACGTCCTATTGCCAAACCATACATTTCATTCTCTTCTTCCTGGATCTGTGTCAGAAATGTGGCAATGCAGGCCTGCTTTGAACTACAATTAGTGGATGTCCTAAGTAGACTCAGGACAGGGAGTGATACTGTAGAGAGTCTATCCCAAGACCGGCAACAGTATTTCCCTGTAGATGAAAACCTGCATGAGTATGATGTGCCTTGCAGATCTACATTAGAGTGTATGCTCCTCCTTGGAGACTTCTGACCTATTTATAAATGAGCAAATTTGCAATCTCACTTGTCTGTGCTTAACCACAGGATCAATTGAACAGCACAATTGATATCCATGTTTCTGGGATAGGGAGAGGAGAATAAATTGGCACAATTATTCTCCTTGGTTACCATACATCGACTCTGGAGGAAAAAGGTACTCGTAATGAGAGAATTGGGCTTGATGTGATTCATCTGCTAACTCTTCCTATTTACAGTTCAACTTAAAAATGTGGCAACATACAAATTATTTTGTGAATCAAGCAAGTGCTGTGCTAAAGATCTCGTTAAAATCCAGTACTGTTCATATTTCCTGGTGCTGTATGTTAAAGAATTAACTTTTTAACTGTCTCAACTATGATTCTATGGCATGTTTTGAACAGATCTACAGGGATGCCAAAGAATGTTTGAACCTTCTATCCTACAGATTGGGAACATCAAATTTCTTCTTTGGGAAAATGTGAGTATTGATGAGGAATAAATGTTTCTAGTGAAAGTATCAGGAAGTTAGAGCTATAAACAGAACCCTTCTAGTTTGTGCCCCAATTATCCTCCACCTTGATTGGTTGCCCAGGGTTTTTTCTCCTTCTGAACTACTATAGCTGTCCCCTTGGCCCTCCTCCATCATAGCAATTGAGCTTTTGATTATCCATCAGAGAGAAAGGGGATGGATGTGGAGGGAACCAGAACTGTTTCAGTTGTAATGAATAGTATACTGTCATGTTCATTATATTTCAACTGGAGAACAGCTATGAGTTATTAACATCTACTGTTTGATGTAAGTTAGTCTTGTGTATGCTGCTAAGGCAGTGCACATTTGTAAACTAAAATAAAAACAGAAAATGCTAGAAATATTTAGCAAGTCCGGAAATGAGGAGAGAATTTCAGTTAGCCTTTCTTCAGAATGCAGATTTTGCTTTTGTGAGCTAGTCATCTTTGTCTGCATTTTAGATACGCATATGAAGAAAATTAGGAGACTGCAGTGCTAAACAATTAGACATTTGTGTTTTTTTCATACAGTTTTGAAGTAGCTAGAGATAGCATGAAGGATTCTTCTCACTCAATTTCCAAATGAAGGTTTGCAAATTAATCTGTACCTGGAGGTTTTATACAATTGCTAAATAAGCTGTTTGAGCAGGGATTCTGATTTGTTGGTGGACTGGAAATTTATGTCATCTGCATACAATATTTGTTTTGCAACTGTATACATAATTATTTCAAAGGTCCTGCAGCATGAACCATCCTTCCAAAGATTTTTGTATTGAATTTTGTGCGGAGTTAGTATCTGTTTTACTTGCTTTTCTATACTGCTTTACTAACTTGTAAATAAATCTAACCCGGAAATTTTAGCCCAGTGTTGTATCTTGGGTGCATAGCTAATATGGCAGTCATTCCATTTGATCTCTGCTGTATTCGATACAGGGTAACTATCAATGCTATTTTTTAAGATTTTATGCTTAAAGGAGCTGCTGGTTTATTTTAAACTTTAAACAGCCCTGTTGATCTATGATGTAACTACTACAGTAATCAGTAAAGTAGAGTAATTCTACAAATATATAAAGGGCAAAAGAATAACTAAGGAGAGAATAGGGCCCTTTAAAGATTAACGTAGCCATCTACGTATGGAACCACAGGAGATAGGTGGGAGCCTAAACAAATATTTTGCTTCAGTATTTGCCACGGAGAAAGACATGGAAGGTAAGGAACTCATGGAGAAAAATAGTGATGTCTTGAAAAGAGTCTACATTACAGAAGAGGATGTGCTAGAGGTCTTAAACGCATAAAGGTAGATAAATCTCTGGGACCTGATCAACTGTGTCACAGGTCATTGTGGGAAGCTAGAGAAGAAATTGCAGCAGGGCCCCTAACCCTGTATCATCGACAACCACAGGTGAGGTGCCGGAAGACTGGAAGGTAGCTAATGTTGTGCCATTATTTAAGAAAGGCTGCAAGGAGAAGCAAGAGAACTCCAGACCGGTGAGCCTGACATCAGTGGTGGGTAAGTTGTTGGAGGGGATTCTGAGAGACAGGATCGACATGCATTTGGAAAAGCAAGGACTAATTAGGGATAGTCGGCCTGGCTTTGTGTGAGGGAAATAGTGTCTCACAAATTTGATTGGGTTTTTTAAAGAGATGATTGGGTAGATGAAAGGCAGAGTGGCAGACGTTGTCTATGTGGACCTTAGCAAGGTCTTTGAGGATGTTCCGCACGATAGACTGGTTAGAAAGATTACATTACATAGGATCCAGGGAAAGCTAGCCAATTGGCTTGATGGTAGAAGAAAGAAAGTGGTGGTAGAGAGTTGTTGTTCAGACTGCAGGCCGATGACCAGCGGTGTGCCACAAGGATCGGTACTGGGTCCGCTGTTGTTTATCATTTATATAAATGATTTGGATGAAAATATAGGAAGCATGGTTAGTAAGTTTGCGGATGACACCAAAATTGGCCGTATAGTGGACTGTAAAAGAAGGTTATCTAAGAGTCCAATGGGATCTTGATCAACTGGGCCAGTGGGCCGAGGAATGGCAGGTGGAGTTTAATGCAGAAAAGTGTGAGGTGTTGCATTTTGTTAAGATAAACCAGGCCAGCACTCTCACAGTTAATGGTAGGGCCTTTGGGAGTGTTGTCGAACAGAGACACCTAGGGGCACAGGTACATAGTTCCTTGAAAGTAGCATCACAGGTAGACAGGGTCATGAAGAAGGCGATCTGCACACTTGCCTTCGTTGGACAGAGCATTGCGTACAGGAGTTGTGACATCGTGTTCATGGCTACACAAGACATTGGTGAGGCCACATATGGAGTATTGCGTACAGTCCTGGTCGGCCTGATTTTGGAAGGATGTGATTAAACTGGAAAGGTTGTAAAAAAGATTTGCAAGGATATTACTGTGGAAGGTTTGAGTTTTTTGTCAGGAGAGACTGGATAGGCTGTGATATTTTTCCCTGGAGCATAGGAGGCTTAGGGGTGAACTTAGACCATAAGACATAGGAGCAGAAATTAGGCCATTCAGCCCATTGAGTCTGCTCTGCCATTCAATCATGGCTGATAAGTTTTTCAACCCCATTCTCCCGCTTTCTCCCCATAACCCTTGATCACCTTGACAATCAAGAACCTATCTATCTCCGTCTTAAATATACTCAATGACCTGGCCTCCACAGCGTTCTGTGGCAATGAATTCCATAGATTTACCATTCTTTGGCTGAAGATATTTCTCCTTATCTCTGTTCTAGAGGGCCTTCCCTTTAAGGCTATGCCCTCGGGTCCTAGTCTCTCCTATTAATGGAAACATTTTCCCAACGTCCACTCTGTCCAGGCCGTTCAGTATTCTGTAAGTTTCAATTATCCTTCATCCTTCTAAACTCCATTAAGTATAGACCCAGAGTCCTGAAACGTTCCTCGTATTTTAAGCCTTTCATTCCTAGGACCATTCTCATGAACCTCCTCTGAACCTGCTCCAAGCTCAGTACATCCTCCTTAAAGTATGGAGCCCAAACTTGCTCACAATACTCTAAATGTGGTCTGACCAGAACTTTATAAAGCCTCAGAAGTACATTCGTGCTTTTATACTCTCGTCCTCTCGAAATAAATGCCAACATTGTATTTACATTTCTAACTACAGACTCAACCTGCAAGTTTACCTTGAGAGAATCCTGGATTAGGACTCCCAAGTCCATGTGCACTCCAGATTTCTGAATTTTCTCCCCATTTAGAAGATAGTCTATGCTTCTTTTCTTCCTACCAAAGTGCATGACCTCACACTTTCCCATGTTGTATTCCATCTGCCACTTCTTTGCCCACTCCGCTAACCTGTCCAAATCCTACTGCAGCCTCCCACCTCCTCAATGCTATTTCCTTGTATCGTTTGATTACTTAGCCAGAATGCCCTCAGTTTCTTCATCTAGATCATTAATATATAAAATGAAAAGTTGTGATCCCAACACTGACCCTTGTGGAACACCACTATTCACTGGCTGCCAGCCTGAGTAGGTCCCTTTTAACTCCACTCTCTGCTTTCTGCCAGACAGCCAATCTTCTATCCATGTTGGTACCTTGCCTCTAACATTGTGGGCCCTTATCTTACTCAGCAGCCTCCAGTGCGACACCTTGTCAAAGGCCTTCTGGAAGTCCAGATAGATAACATCTATTGGCTCTCCTTGGTTTAACCTGCTCATTACTTATAGAGGTTTATAAAATCAAGAGGGGCAGAGACAAGGTGAATAGCAAAAGTCTTTTTCCTAAGGTAGGAGAGTCCAAAAATAGAGGGTATAGGTTTAAGGTGAGAGGGGAAAGATTTAAAAGGAACCTGGGGGGCAACATTTTCACACAGAGGGTGGTATATAGAACAAGCTGTCAGAGGAAGTGTAGAAGTGGATACAATTACAACATTTAAAAGACATTTGGACAGGAAGGGTTTAGAGGGATTTGGGCTAAATGCAGGCAAATGAGACTAGTTCAGTTTTGGAAACTTGGTTGGCATGGACGAGGTGGGCTGAAGGGCCTGTTTCCGTGCTGTGTGACTATGAGTTGAGAATTATAAAATCAGCCTTTACCTTATTGAATGACAGAGCAGTCTCAATGGGCTGAATGGTTAAATTCTGCCCCTGCACCTTGCAGCTTTACGGTCTAATTCCTCATGTGATCCAGGGGACTCTATTTACAGGAACTACCTTTTTGCAATGATCAGAAGGTGAGTACTGAAGGATAAAGTGCCATCTCCATAAATTACTGGCAGCTACATTAGCTGTAAACATCATAAATAAAACAGGACTGTTTTAAAAAAAAAAGCAAGGATGGCAACAGAGGTTGAGAAGTAGCTTTGCCTGACAGCGGAGGGAAGGTAGCAGTCACTGTGGAAAAGGTGGACACAAGGCTGAAGAAGGGGAGCATCACTGAAAGTTTGAAGATGATAAAAGGACTAGGTTTGCAAGGCAGCAGAATAAGAAAATGTGGCACTTGAGTGTGTTCAAATTAATTGCAAGCAGGCTGGTAACTGCCACAAAATAATTACTACACTCACGCTGTTGAAAATTTTAGGAAGGGAATTACATAGGTTAGGGACATTTGAAATATTAATGTGGGCTGTGGAGTACAGCTGAAAGGCTGGTGCTTTTTATCTTGATAGGAAAGTGCTTGCTGAAATGTACGGAGTCTGATGCATGGTGTGAATTTTTATTAAACCGCATCATTCTTGCTGCTCACAATAGCAATGTGTATGCTTAAAATTTCAAATGTTCCTATATTTTGTCAATCAATAATACAGGACAGAAATATTGTGGGAAAGCCTGAACAATAACAACTTGTTAGAATTGGTGTGGTTTATAACTTGTGTCTTCATGGTTTTGTGTCTAGACCAACCAGTTTTGATGCCTTTGCATTTGGATTTCTTGCTCCTCTGTATAAAGCAGAGCTGCCTAATGCCCACCTCCAGAAGCATTTGCATCAGCTCCATAATCTGTGCCAATTCTGTGACAACATCCTGAGTCAGTACTTCACACAAAGCTCTACAGGTGAGTCACTGGACTTGGTGGGTGAGATTTCAGTTGCACTAATTTATTCAAGACTAATGCTGTGTTTCAGCAAAAATACAATGGCTTCTTGTTCAGTACGTATGTAAAAGAACTCGTTGAGAATGGGTATACCAGAAGTTTGTAAAGGGGGAGAGGGATTTGGTAACTATTTGCTTTCATCTATTGGTATCAAAGTTACAAATCTGTAGGTTTCACTAAATATACTTTTTACTGTGGACAAGTTTTCTTTTCAATAGCATCATTCCCTTGATTTTGATAAAGACGTCAGTTGTGGAGAAACAGAGGTTGATGGAGTTGATTGTAGGAAAGTATGAGATCATTTACCATTTACATAAGAAAGCATTGATTCTAAATGGTAGCAAGCTAGGAACCATGGAGAAGCAGAGCAGACCATGCTGTAGAAGTCTGAATACAGAAATCACAGCAAATGGAATATTGTCCATTATCTCAAGAGCACTGGAATATAAAAGGAAGTCCAAAACTCTAGCTCAACCATAACTGAAGTATTTCACTGACTTAGAATCACAGAATCCCTACAGTATGGAAACAGGCCAGCCAACCCAACAAATTCACACTGACTCTCCAAAGAGCATCCCACCCAGACCCATCCCCTAACCCTGCATTCCCCATGGCTAATGCACCTAATTTACACATCCCTGGACACTATGGGGCAATTTAGCACAGCCCATCCACCTACCCTGCACATCTTTGGACTGTGGGAGGAAACCGGAGCACCCGGAGGAAACCCACACAGTTAGTCGCCCGAGTCTGGAATTGAACCCAGGTCCCTGGCGCTGTGAGGCAGCAGTGCTAACCACTGAGCCACCATGCCACTTCTGGGTATTTCACTTTTAAAAGGGGTATATTGGCTTTTGAGGAGTTGCAGTGCAGATTAATGAAAATGATACCTGGTTGAAAGGGTAAATTATTGTTGACAGAATCTCATAGATTAGACTGGTATTTGCTTGAATTAGTAATGATCTAGCTGAAGCTATGATCATTAAAGACCTTGGGAGGACTAGAGAAACTGTTCCCTCTAGGTAGGGGAAGGTTGAGAGGAGACTCCAAAACGTAGAATTATTGTAAGTGTCAAAACTGGGATTGGTAGATCAAAGTACTCAGGTTACCAACCACAGTGGATAGTTTCTGAGGAAGGATCACTGGACCCAGAACGTTAACTTTGATTTTCTCTTCACAGATGCTGCCAGACCTGCTGAGCTTTTCCAGCAACTTCTGTTTTTGTTCCTGATTTACAGCATTGGCAGTTCTTTAATTTTTTATTGTGGATAATTTAATGTTGAGGTGCACATTGGCCATGATCTCATTACATAATGGAAGAGGTCCAAACTGACTTCTGTTCAAACAACGTTATGTTTTGTTGACAGTTTAAAGTCCTTTTGTTCCACATAAAGGAAATTGGGTTTCCTGTATGTTTGTAGACAAACTGTGTTTGTTCGATGAGTTTAGAGTGAAGTAGAATACATTATTAGGGCCATGGTGTGTGAAGAGCCTAAAATGTTGTTCCATCACTGTACTAGAAACCAACTGTAATGAGAGGTTTTCTCATTGTACATTGTGGATTATAAATTACTTACTTGTGCTTTAAACAAAGTGAATCTAGTTAAGTTGTTGGTTTGTTTGGATGGCTTGTAACGCCATGTCTTCAATAACTGTAGTTATAGCTGGGCAACTACAGCTGTCCCGTTTGTACAAGGAGAGACTCTTTCAAAGCAAAACCTACAAAAGAAATCACTATGTACCTTTTTCATGTCCTAGAGGAGGAGGCAACTCCTAGTATTGCTACTCCACATCCATCTAAATTTACTTCAGTTGCAGTTAATATTCCATTCACATCTCCAAGCAGATAGTTATAGAGAGGAATAGCAAAGAATCCGTCATAGGAAAAAAACAGAGTTAACATCCCAGGTCCAGTGACCTTTCCTCAGAACAGTTCTGAGGAAGGGTCACCGGACCCGAAACGTTAACACTGTTTTTTCCTTCACAGATGCTGCCAGACCTGCTGAGCTTTTCCAGCAACTTTGTTTTTGTTCCTGATTTACAGCATCTGCAGTTCTTTTGGTTTTTAAAGAATCCACCATCTTCGCTTGGAGAACTGATGTATTTCATGTGACCAAGCAGGTCTAAGAACTGGAAAAGGGACGAAATTCTACAATGCAACATGTAACAGCAAGGGGAGAGCTGTAGGCAAAAGAGCTCCAGAGAGTAGAACACTAAATTAGACTGTGTTGGGGGAGCTGTGCTAGGAAATAAAAGACAATGTATCTGTCCAAAAAAAAATCACTTTTATTTGTCGGTGATTAGATTGTCCATACATGCAATTTAGTTTCCTTATGGTAAGAAAAACTTGCATTGCTACCATGAACCTAAAATAACGTAGAACCTGCATTTCAAGATAAGAATAGACATGCTAAACCTTAGCTCATTCATATTTTCCCTTTATATTTCTACGTAATCTAGGCACAATATCAATAGACACAAACAAAAGAGTTAAGGTTCAGCCAAGTGTTCGGTTGGCTTGAAAATAGAAAGTGAAATTTCTTTTGCTCATTTATTTAGAAGGCCTTTTGTTTGACAGTTCATTTCAGCTCCTTCCCCCCTTCTCTATCCCTAAACTTTAAAATAGAAGTTGGAAAACAGGTTGCTTCAGGCTGCTCTTGTTCACCTCCAAGTAGTCAGATTACCTCCTTATGGCTACATTCAGTGTAATGTTAACCAAGCTTCAAACCGCTTCCTCAGACCGTTGTCCTTATGGCAAATTTGATAATCCAGGATATTCCTAGCATAGCTCCCCAAACCCTGAAGCCTAATTTAGTGTTCTGTTCTGTGGAGCTGTTTTGCCTACAGCTCACCCCTTGTTGTTACATATTGTATTGAAGATATTCTATGCCCTTTTGATTTGGAATGCTTCCTCTTATTGAGTCTATTACAAGATATAAAACCTTGAGAGTTCTGGATAGGGAGGATGCCAAGAGGAGACTAAAACTAGGGAACGTGGTCTAAGATGTTTTCCTTACAAGAGAGACATTCCTTTCTCTCAGAGGGTGCTCTGTATGGAATTCTCATTCCCAGAAGATAGAGCCTGGGTCTTTTAAGTTCATTCAAGGCTAAGTTAGATATTTGGTAGTCAAGCAAATAAAGGGTTATGGGAATCAGAAAGGAAAATGAAGCTGAGACCACAGCCCACAAATCAGCCATAATCTTATCCAGTGTTCTTCCTTTGCTGATTCTGTACATTTTCTCTGCATGGCTGAGTACAATGTATTTTTCATGTTAAGCCTTCAGATTCCGTTCAGTTAGGCAACATTTTTTAATAGTCTTCAAAAGTTAAAGCAATTAATAATCCAATCAGAGAGGTTTTAATGCCACCTTTAATTGGAAGCTATCTCCTTTTAACCTATAGGATCATGACCTGTGTCTCTCCAAGCCACCAGTAGCTCTCATATTGTCTGTCCGTAGTGCTCCATTTTTTTTTTTATTCACTTGTGGGGCATAGACGTCACTGCTTGGCCAGCATTGATTACCTTGTTACCTTTGTGAAGGTGGTGGTGAGCTGCCTTCTTGGCCTGCTGCAGTCCATGTGCTGAAGGTGGAACCACATTGCCCTTTGAGAGGGAATTCCAGAATTTTAACACAGTGACAGTGAAAGAACAGTGATATATTTCCAAGTCTTGATGGTAAATGACTTGGAGGGGAACTTACAGGTGGTAATATTTCCATGTTTCTACTGTCCTTGTCCTTCTGGGTGGAAGTCGATTTGAAACCCTGTCTAAGGATCTTCAGTGAATTTCTGTGGTGCGTCTTGTAGATAATATGCACTGCTGCTACTGAGTGTCAACAGTGCATTTGCAAATTACATTTTAAATCTGTGTCCTCCAATTACAAACTACTGTCAGTGGGAACAGCTTTTTATATAACTCTATCAAAACTTGAATATCTCTGAATTCTCCTTAGTTTCTCTGTTCTCTCTATGTAACTCTGGTCACTCATTCCCAGTATCATTCTTGTTAATCCTGTCGTCATCCTCTGAGGTTTTTGACAAACTTTCTAAAATTAGTTGCTCAGAAATGTCCTTTAATATTCCAGTCAAAGTCTAATCCGTAGGTTTATTATCATTTAGCAATTTCTATTGCTTTTGTACACAGTACTCCTTTATTAAAACCAGAATTTCTTAAGCCTTTTCAACATGTCCTGCCACCTTGAATGGTGCATTTGTTGCCCTTCACTGATTGCCCTCGAGCTGAGTGGCCCACTAGGCCATTTCGAAGGGCAGTTAAGTATCAACCTCAGTGCAGTGTGTCTGAGGTGACAAGCATTTAAAGATTTCCATCCTTAAAGGACATTAATGAACCAGATGGATTTGCACGTGATCATTTGTGTTTGCTGTTACTGAGACCAGCTTTGATATTGTTAATTGCATGCATTTATTAAATTCCACTAGCTGCTGTGGTGGAATTTGAACTTATGTCCCCAGAACCTTCACCTGGGTTGCTAGGTTACTCAGCCATTTACCCCTATGCTGCTGCCTCCCCTGTTGTCTGTCTTTGTACTTACTAGAAAACTGAATTGATTGCACACTTCTCTGAGTTAAATTTCATCTGCCATTATTGCTAACTTCACCAGTCTGTGTCCACCTAAATTCTATGTTCCTTACTTTTATCTATCCCTTTAATCATACAAGTTTCATAAGTTTGTTTGTTAGCTGGTACTTTATTAAATGCCTATTGAAAGCTGATTGCACAACATAATCACACTACAGTCATCAACCTTCTGCATCAAAGAACTTAAGTTAAACAAACAGATTTATCTTTGCTGTATCAGTGCTGGTTTTCATTTATTAACCCTTATTTTCCCCAAGTATCCATTGTCTTCACCACAGATCATTGTGCCTCAGCATTTACCACCAGTGATGTTTAGACTGATTAATCTTCAGTTTTGTTAGGTTTATCCCTTTACTATATTTTTTAGAACTGTGTTTTAACAATTGCTCTTGTCCAGTCCTTTGATGTCCTTCCCACATCTGAGGAGGACTGAAAGTTTGTAGCTAGAATTTCCACAATTTCTGCCCTTGCTTCTCTCAGCAGATTTGTTAGGTTAAAATTGTTGAGGAATTAAAAAAAATCTATGCGCCCTTTCAGTACAGAAGTTTTGCATACAGCGCAAGTTTGTATTTGAATTTTCTTTTTACTTCAGTGTTAATGAGATCCCCCTTAGTCTAGATTCTTGGCTTCTTCCTCCTCCCCTTAAGATATGTTTTTAGTTTCCATTATTTAAGGAAAGTTTTTATTTCATTGGAAGCAGTTCAGAGAAGGTACACAAGGTTGCACCTCAAAGTGGAGGGATTGCCTTATGAGCAAAAGCTAAACAGGTTGGGATCCTACTCACTAGAGTTTAGAATGATGAGAGGTGATCTCATTGAAACATATAGGCTTCTTAGGAGTTTTGACAGGGTAAATGCTGAGAGGATGTTTCCTCACATGGGAGAGTCTAGAACCAGAGGGCACTGTCTCAGAATTAAGGGGTGTCAATTTAAGACTGACATGAGGAGGAATTTCTTCTCTGAGACTTGAGAGTCTTTGGAACTCCTTTCCACAGAGCACAGTGTGGGCAGAGTCCTTGTGTATATTTAAGACTGAGAAAAGTTCTTGATCAGTAGGGAATCAAGGAATGCAGGTAAAGGGTAGGAAAGTGGAGACGAAGAATGTCAGGTCAGCCATGATCTTATTGAATAGTGGAGTAGGCTGAAGCGAGCGAATGGCCTACTCCTGTTCCTATGTCTTATGGTCTTATGTTTGTTTAGGGACAGAAGTGAAAGTACGAATGGTATAACCACATTTAATTTTGACCCTGAGGATCCTTTCTGTTGACATTGAGGTACATTGATGGTGTTGCAGAATCAGAAAGGAGTTTTGAGACTTCAGTTTTGTGGATATATTCGAAAAGCTGGGGCTGCTGTCCTTAGAGAGGAGATTAGATGGGGTACCCTGATTGAGAGGGGCTAGACAATGTGTTTATTGAGAAACAGTTCCCATTAACAGTAGGGAGGACTACCAGGGGACAGCAATTTGAGGTGAATGGTTTTTAAAAATATGCCAACGTGAGGAAAAACTGTTTTGTGCAGCTGTTGGTTAAGATCTGCAGTACATTATGTGAGGGTGTGTAGAATCATAGAAACATAGAAAATAGGTGCAGGAATAGGCCATTCAGCCCTTTGAGCCTGCACTACCATTTAATACAATCATGGCTGATCATGCAATCTCAATATCTCCATTCCTGCCCTCATACCATACCCCTTGATCCCTTTAGCTGCAAGGGCCATGTCCAGCTCCCTCCTGAATATATCTAATGAACTGGCCCCAACAGCATCCTATGGGAGAAAATTCTACGGGCTCACCACTCTCTGAGTGAAGAAATTCTCCTTCACCTTAGTCCTCAATGGCTTACCCTTTATTCTTAGACTGTGACCCCTAGTTTTGGACTTGCCCAACATTGGGAACATCCTTCCCACATCTAGCCGTCCACTCCCATCAGGATTTTACATGTTTCCATGAGATTCCCCCTCATACTTTTAACTTCCAGTGAATACAAGCCCACTCGATCCAGTCTTTCCTCATATGTCAATCCTGCCATCCCGGGAATCAGTCTAATGAACCTTTGCTAGACTCCCTCAATAGCAGGAATATCTTTCCTTAGACTAAGAGACTAAAACTGCACACAATACTCATGGTGTGGCCTCACCAAAGCCCTGTATAACTGCAGTAAGACATCCCAACTCCTATACTCAAATCCTCTCGCTATGAAGGAGAGCATTCCATTAGCTTTCCTCACTGCCTGCTGCACCTGCATGCCAAACTTCAGCGACTGTTCCACCATGACATCCAGGTCTCGTTGCACCTCACTAAACTGCCACCATTCAGATAATAATCTGCCTTCCTGTTTTTGTGACCAAAGTGGATAACCTCACATTTATCCACATTATATTGTATTTGCCAAGTATTTGCCCACTCAACCGGCATGTCCAAGTTACCCTGCAGCCTCCTAGCATTCTCCTCACAGCACATACTGCCACCCAGCTTAGTGTCGTCTGCAAATTTGGGGATATTGCATTCAGTTCCTCCATCCAAATCGTTAATGTGTATTGCGAACAGCTGAGGTCCCAGCACTGAACCCCCCCCACTTGTTACTGCCTGCCAGTCTGAAAAGGACCCGTTTATTGCAACTCCCTGCTTCCTGGCCGCCAACGAGTTCTCTATCCACGTCAATACATTATCTCCAATACCATGAGCTTTAATTTTCCTTACTAATCTCTTGTGTGGAACCTTGTTAAAAGCCTTTGAAAGTCAAGATATACAACATCGAATGATTCACCATTGTCTACTCTACTGTCACACCCTCAAAAAATTTCAAAAAATTTGTCAATCATTTAGTGAATCCATGCTGATGAGGACTGATTCTGTCCCTGCTTTCCAAATGCTCAGTTATTACATCCTTAATTATTGACTCCAGCATTTTCCCTACCATCAATGTCAGGCTAACTGGCCTACAATTCCCTATTTTCTCTTTCCTTTTTTAAAGAGTGGAGTTACATTAGACTACTGGAACTCTTCCACAGTCTACAGAATGCTGGAAAATGATCACCAATGCATCCACTGTTTCTAGGGCCATTTCCTTAAGTACTCTGGGATGCAGAGCATCAGGCCCTGGGGACTTACTGGGTTTTAATCCCATCAATTTCCCCAGTACCATTTCCTGACTAATAAAGATTTCCATCAGTTCCTCCTTCGTGCTTGACCCTCTGTCCCCTAGCATTTCCTGAAGATTATTTGTGTCCTCCTTAGTGAAGACAGATCCAAAGTATTTGTTCAACTGGGCTGCCATCTCTTTGTAGTCCATTATGCATTCATCTGATTCTAACTGCAAGGGACCTACATTTGTCTTCACCAGTCTTTTTCTCCTCTCATATCTATAGAAGCATTTGCAGTCAGTTTTTATGTTTTCTGCAAGCTTACTTTCATATTCTATTTTCCCTTTCCAAATTAAACCCTCTGTCCTCCTCTGGCGAATTTTAAATATCTCCCAGTCCTCGGGTTTGCTGCTTTTTCTGACCAATTTATCTGCATCCTCTTTGGCTTTTATACTGATCCTGATTTTCCTTGTTAACCATGGTTGGCCACCTTCCCTGTTTTACTTTACGCCAGACAGGGCATTCAGCGGTGACAGGGCTGTTCAGATTCAATCATGGCTTCCAAAAGGGGAAATTATATAAGAACCTAAAGAGAGAGAATTCACAGGGCTCTGAGATAAAGATGGGAGTGAAACAAATTTTCAGTTGTGTTGCTTTTGCAAGAGAGGCATCATGGACCTGACAGGCCCAATGGTCTTATTCTCTGCAATTCCATCTTTCTACTTTACGTAACCTGAAATCAACTGAGTACAATGGACTTTGCAAGCATTGTTGTTTTATTAATGTCCTGAACTCTGGGATTGTAGTAGTTCATTGTATGTATGCTCCTTTATCTTACTACTTATGAAACATTCTTCTTCCTACTATTTTGTTCTCTCTTCCTGCTGGCCTCTTAGAAGATATGATGGATGCAAACCTACAGAAGCTGACGCAGCTTGTAAACAAGGAATCCAACCTGATTGAGAAGGTTGATTCTTTTAATTGCTTTCTCTATTGAACCTATCTGTTCTGTAAAGTGCCTTGAGTAATGATTCAGTCCTAGCCTAGTTAGCATAATTAGCAGTATGCATTAGATTAAAATTATCCTACAAGTCTATTACATAATGCATTACAATTGAATTTTAATGCATTACCTGGTGCTATGTTGAGTCATACAGAAAAAGGAGGCAGCAGGTTAATTAATTTGTGATGTTGAATTAGAAGTAGGTGCACCTCAATTGGCTTGTGTTTATATACCAGGGAAGGCAATGTTCATCAAAGATTCCAGTTTCTAATCACTGGCCGGTAACTCTTCTCTGAAAGTGTGTGGAAGATTGCCGAAGGCAGAACTCAGCTTAGCTGTGATTCCCCAGCAGTTGAATATCCTGCTAACACTCATTGTTTAAGCTCTCACATGTTTTAGAAAACTGATGCGTGCAAAACTGACAGCAGGAATTACCAGATTCATGGGAAGAGGGAAGGAAAATGGAGGTGGGAATTCCAACACGTATTTCAATTATGTGTGAAGCTGATCCTTTCTCACGCTCTGCCTCTTGTTCGGAAAAAGTCACTAATTCTGCTGATTATAATAACTCGCCATGTTTTATGCATTCTGGAGCAGAAGTTACACATAGTGAGAGATAAAATTGGTGTATTTCAAAGAGCACCATCTCAGATCCTAGCTTTCAATTATAGCAATGATCAATTTATAAATTAAAACTTACTGGTGTAAATCATCTTGAAGTAAACAAACTTGGGTATTCACAGTATCATACAATATATTTTAATTCTTACATAAATCAGCTTTAAGATCTAATTGACATTCTAATGTAATGGCTGTATTGATCTGAAGGTCTACCTATTCCCATCTTCTTAGAGTCATGTATGACATATTGAAACATTGACGTGTTGTGAAAGAACAGTTTATAGATATAAGACTTGTTGGAAAGAAAATGGCAGTAATGTTACTCAATGAAATGTAAATTATCCAAAAGTTAATTTTAAATTTATAAATTGAATCCAATAAATCGAGTAAATCTTAAATTGAGTAAAATCTTCTGTTTGTTTTCTCCCAATAGATGGATGACAATCTTCGCAACAGTCCCCAACACAAACCTCAAGTTGCACCCCCTTCAAAATTGATGCCCATGGGCAGTGAAGCCTGCTCATCGCGACACTGATTGTCTTGACTCTTTTTGCATATATATTTGCAGCAAATCTTCAGTTAACAGAACTTTAACGTGACCATGGATCTAAAGAGCGGGTAATGGGAGATAATTTTTAAAAAGTGCCATTTTACGATGAGGTATCTAATGTGCTGACCTGAACATGTATCCAAGATGGAGATCTGAAGGATTCACTGAACACTGTGGGATTCACCAGGTGTTGTTTCCAATTCAGCAACTAGCACTTAGGAAACAGTACCCTTTCAGATATAATTTATCAGACATGCATTTATTATTACTTGAGCAAATATTAGTGTTTTAAATGTGTTAAACTACAATAGATAATTGACTGCCATTAGACATTCTAGGTTGAGATAGTGCTACTTATTATAGATGGAGGTGAGACATGCCAGTTTTTGAAGGGTTGACCAGGTGGCTGACAGTTCTGGAGGCAAACGTCATCTGGAAGCCAGAGCGTTTCCTAGAATACTGTACTGTTTTAGTGCTGCAGTCTATATCATACAGATGTTGTCCAACTCTGATCTGTCTTGTAACGAGTGAACAGCCACTCTTTTAATAGCTGTCACCAGTAGTTCACTCACCTGAAAAAATTGTACCTCAAGTAATGTTTCCAAAGGGCTGTAGTTATTACGCCTCAATCAATGTATTGTCGCCTCTGTAGTTTTAGTGGAGACAGCTTCAGGAAAGAATACTAACGTATTGTAAATAATGTCAGGATATTATTTTCCTAAAATTCCATAGATTAATAAAGTAAAGAAAATATTAGAACGTATTAAAAACACTGACTTTAGAAATCATTTTGGAGAAAAATGTGTTTGGTTACATAAATGTATGTAATGGTTACTAACAAACTTATGTGCATAAGAAAACAATCAATTAGAATCAGTTAAGGTTTGTACCCTATCAAATTTAGTTCAGATGCTGCTGTCATTTGAAGTCATAAAACTTCCTGCAGTTACGACTGAATCAGTTAACTTGAGTTAGTGTGTCGAATTTAATCTCAAAATGTGTGATGGGAAGAATCTTCAGAGTGGAACCTGATCAAATATTTTTAGTGGCCTGTTTATAACCAAATTGTTTGAACCCAAGTTATTCAAGAGAAATTGTAACTTGGTTGAAATTTGTGTTTAAATTGTAAATCAGTGCATTAATAAGTAAAATGTCAGCTTAAATGATATGCTTAAATTGCAGTTCAAGTGTGATGAAGCTAACTTTGGAAAAGGACATTATCGTGCCTTTAAGTACGTTCTTGTTAAACTCAGATTTTGCCTTGATAAAATACAGTAAGACCATTTTACTCTAAAGAAAAGCTTCAAATCATTATGTTAGCAAGGGTGTTTGTCTACGTAAATATATTTTTGAAAGTTTAGGACATTTTCTGTACTTTATACTGTTCTTTACTGTTTGACATTCTCCTCAAGAATACTTTACTTTATTTGCAAAATGAAAATCTGGAGTGTGGATGCCACCATGCCACATGTACTGTGATACATTGCTAATAACAGTTTAAATACAAGAAAAATTGAGAATATTTGCACAAGGCTACTTAGTAAATGTGATTTTGTATTAAATGCAGATACTGAGCCAGTTTTGGTTAACCATCTATCTTTCATAATGAAAATAGGAAGTGCGAGCAATACTCAGCAGGTCTGGCAGCATCTGTGGAGAGAGATGCACTTAACATTTTTGACTCAAACATGGACTTTATAGAAAAGTAATTGTTTTGTAGTACATAACTTAAATATTGCTAAAAGGAGATGAGATGTTGAAGATATTCATTTTGCACTCATCAGAACTAGGATGCAAGAAACAGACTTGAGAAAGGGGACACTATTTTATACACATAACGTGGTTCTGATTGGTATCCTTCGGTGCCATTCACTACAAGATCAGTCTTAATGGCATTCTTGTGAATAAGGCCATAGCCATCAGCTCAGGACTTGATGCTGAGATAGGGCATATCAAAAAACTATAATGGATATGCCGATCAAGTCATCATTCACTTTAAATAAACCAAAACAGATGAAAGGGCTAATGTCCTCCATCTTTGGCCCTGAGCAGCGCCCAGCCTCCCTCGGATTATGCTGGAAGATGAAGATGTCTCCAAAATTTGAATGACAGGTGTCTCACACTGCTGGTATACAGTAAACCCACAAGTGGTTATCTCCATTAACGAAGTGTTGCCATCAAGCCAAAAAGGTGTTTTGCACACCACCCCGCCGCCGCCCCCCCCACCCACACACACACACACACACACATACAAGTACAGTGATATGAATTTCAGTGCCAGTGTGACACCGAATAAGTAGGCTGTATTTCCCAATGATTGGCAGATCCTGTCCAACATATCCCATTCATCATTCACAGTGTGCCATTCACGCTGACCCAACCTGTGGTTGCAGAACAGTATATCCACTCTCAGAAAAACGTATCCAGCATAAGATGTGATTCTGCAATTGGAAATCATTTATTACATAGTCCAGACTATGATAAATGTTACACCAAACACCAGCCATGCTCATAGTATGATGAGTGTGTGTGTGTGTGTGTGTTAAAAGCTACATATATAAATGTACAGGAATGGCTCATGTGGAGCCGTGATTGTGTCCCTACCTCTGGGCCAGCAGGTCCCACTTCAAATCTTACATGCTTCAGGAATGTACAATCGCTCCTCTGAATAGGTCAATTAGAAATTACTGTTAAATGCACAGGAATCTGTTTTATGTACGCAAGAGGAATTTGTGCGTGCATTGCACCAATTTAAAAAAAAGTATAGGGTTTTAGCAACTGTTGCATTCCCATGGCAACACCCTGACTAGTCAGCAGCTTTGTGTCTGGTCTGAGAATTAACATTGACAGTTAACTGTTCTTGCTCCACCTCCATGTCAATGATGACCCAACCAATCAGTACCCTCTTCTCATGCTGAATAAAATGGTGTCCTTATTTCTTCCCAACTTTGTTCCTTGACTCCTATTTCTGATGATAGCAAGATGAAAAGCTTCCACAACTTGTCTCCTCTCAGCAATGTTTAAATATTTCAGAACTGAAGGAGGGTGGAAATGTAATATGTTGCAGAAAGTAATGACGGGGAGAAAGATCCAAGGGAAATTCTGGAATAGCGAGTGGGAATGATTAATTTGACACATATGTCATGGAACAAAAGACAAAGAAGTGGCAATGAAGGAACAAACCAATTGCCTGGAATGAGTGTGATTGGCAGAAAAATGAACAGCTCTGTTCAAGAGCACAAACATTAAAACTAGATTCAGATTGGCACATGGCAAAATAAAAACAGAATCAAAATTGGAGAGACAGTTCACGGTTTGTTGTTGAACTCAATGTTAAGTTCAATATTATGGGTGGCACAGTGGCTAGCACTGCTGCCTCACAGCACTAGGAACTTGGGTTTGATTCCACACTTGGGTGGCTGTCTGTGTGGAGTTTGCACATTCTCCCCGTGTCTGTGTGGGTTTTCTTTGGGTGGTCCGGTTTCCTCCCACAGTCCAAAGATGTGCAGGTTAGGTGGATAGGCTATGCTAAATTGCCCATAGTGTCCAGGGTTGTGCAGGCTAGGTGGGTTAGCCATGGGAAATGCAGAGTTATAGAGATGGGGGGTGCGGGTGGGTGGGCAGGAGAGAGGAGGAAGGGGTGGTCTGGATGGGATGCTGTTTGGAGGGTCGGTGTAGAGTCGATGGGCTGAATGACCAGCTTCCATACTGTATGGATTCTATGGTTCTGAAGACATAAAATAAATAATTGGAAGCCTGGGTGCTCTTCTTCGAGGTTGAGTTGAGGGATATTTATCTATAGTGTCCATGAATGGCATTGAGCTTCACTGGAATGCTGCATTAGACCTAGAACGGAAATATGAGCGGATCTTGCCCTTGCTTTTGCATTTCTGTCCAGGGGCTTACTGCAGTGCTCCAGTGAAGCCTAACATTATTCACTCTGATCAAATGTTCTGTTGTTTTAGTACAATGGTTACCACTCCTTTTGCTTTTGTTCTATGACATCTTTGCCGTTTAATCTCTTTTCTGCACTATCCCAGACCTACTCTTTTGTACTTCCTCCTCGTTCCCCTTGCAAAGGCATAAGCCCATCTCATTTAAAGTGAGGTGCAAGCGAAGCAAGAGTGATCTGAGAAAAAAAAATCCTTTTCACTCAACAATTAGTTGGAGCATAGAATGCACTCTTTGGAGGTGTGGTGGATGCAAGTTCAACAAGGCGTTCAAGAGGGCCTTGATGATGATTTGGATAGTTAATGGTATGCAGGATATGGAACAAAGGTATGAGATTGGGACTTGAAATGGAACTGGTGTAGGCAACGGTGGGCTGAATGGCTTTCTCCTGCTTTGTAACAATTCTGTAGATTTCTACCTTCCCTCACTTCTGCAGAATAGTTACATTTGACTCAAAACATTCACTCTACAGGTGCTTCCAAGCCTGCCAAATACTTCCAGCACTTTCTTTTTTCAGATTTCTGGCATCTGAGGTATTTTACTTCTGTCCTTCTGTAAAATTCAGTTTATGTCAAAGTAACGAAATCTTGAGGTTCTAATTGATTAGAGCTGTTCAAATCCACTGGAAATCATTCAGCTGTGTGTGTGCTTGCTGTAATTGAGCAGGTGGGAACACATTTTGTTTTTATGTTACAGCAACGGAGTAAGTTTTTCTTCTGTTTCTTGTGTACTAGCTAATTGACAATTATTGCTGATTTAATGTTTAGGTATTTTTGTATTTCCCTTATAGTTAAGATATTCTTATTCCATCCTGCACTTTATTATTTAGTTAAAGCAAATTGGCTAGAACTTAGACTGGCCACTTCCAAATGTTTGTGCACATGTTATTGATTTTGTAGAGGAAATCTTTCTTCGTCTCTGATCATATACAATGCAGTTGCTATTGTTTAAACTTGAAAGCCTTCATATTCTAAAGCAGTCATTAATACTGGAGTTGCTCACCAGAATCTGAATTACTGTTTGTTTCCTGTTAGTTTGGTACAGTCAAATTAGGTGTGTTTATTTTTGAGTTGCAAAATTTATCAGTTCTTATCAGCTCTTACTTGTCATAGTGGTAAATGCAGTCTGTGCACTGGCATTAAACAAGAGCATTCAACCCAAGAAGGCGGGCAGAAATTCTTCCAGTAGTGTGTGCCTATGAAAGCGAATAAGTTACTGAGAACCTGATCTGTTTTTGTAGCTGGAGGAGAGTTGCTGTTAGAAGCAGGGTGGATAAGTAGTAGTCCTAGGCTCCCCACATTTTTAGGGCAGCAAGTAACAGGCAATAAATGCTGCCCTTACCATTATCTCCTACACCTAAGAATTAATGTAAAATCTTATGAAACAGGAATTGAACAAGCGGATGTTCTGTGCTGTTTGTATCATAGTCAAAAATTTAATAGCAAAAGCAGAACTTTATAAATTTTGCATTCGGAGAGTATGATTATATTCAAGGTAGGAAACTTGGAGGACTGCCTTTGGCATTAATCCAAGTTTTGATGCATTGAGATTTGAAATATGGTGAGGAAATACTGCATGACTCCAACGTGTGGGCCTTAAGAAATTAAGTCCGATGCCGATGAAGGCAGGAGCATCTCTAATGCAAGTTAACATTGGATGCTTTTTAAAACTCCATTCCTTCAGCAGTATATGCATTTGTTCAGCATTCCTTTTGAATTTTTTTCTCCAGCTTTTATTTTTCATTCTTTCAATTTCATAGCATTTGACTTGAAGATCTATGATTAACAACATGGAGCTATTTTTGTGATGGTTGCAAAAGGTACTTACGCCTTAAATGATCGATTGGGAGCTGCCAGCATTCCTGGGTCCTGCTCCCATACTGTAACCTTGGTGAAGTAGAGGCAAAGCTGTTTGTGCCAAAGCTACATCTGTTCATTAAGTTTACTTGTCTGTCTCCATAATTTACGTGGGCACTACTCATAAGATCGTAAGAAATGCCCTTTCAGCTCATTGATCTTGCCCTGCCATTCAGGAAGATCATGGCTGATCTGATGGTGGTGTTATCTTCTCTTCTTGCCTATCCCCATTACCCTTGACTACCTTGTCAATCAAAAATCTATCCAGCTTGGAGTGACCCAGCATCCACTGCTGTCTGTGGAACAGATTTCCAAAGGCTACTGACCCTCTGAAAGGGGAACTTCTTCCTTTTCTGCAACTTAAACGGGAGACCCCCTTATATATAAACTTTGCCATCTAGTTCTAGATGCCGTGGAGAGCCAATATCCTATCTGCAAGCCCTCTCAGAATCTTGTTTCAAAAATATCAAACCTCACTTTCTTTTAAACTCTAACTTTCAATCTGCTCAAACTTTCCTCATAAGATAGCCCATTCACCCAAAAATCAGCCGAGTGGACCTTCTATAAATTGCTTCCAATACCAGTGTTTCATTCCTTAAGTAAGGAGACCAGACTGTATGCAGTACTTTAGGTGCAGGCTCACCAATTCCCCTCACAGCTGTAGCAAGAATTCCTTTTTGTACTCCTATCCCACTTGTAATAAAGGCCCACCTTCCATTTTCCTGCATAATAATTGCTGTGCTAGCATACTACATGATTGAGATTCATGTGCCAGGATATTCAAATCCCTCCATACCGTAACATTCTGTGGTATCTCTCAATTAAATATTCTGCTTTTGTATGCTTCCTGCTCAAGTGGGCAACCTCACATTTTCCCACATTAAACTACATCTGCCAACTGTCTGCCCACTCACTTTATCCATCTGCTTTTGTGGACTTTGTAGCCTCCTCACGTATTGGTTTTCTACCTGCCTTCATATTGTCACAAAATGTGGTTACAATATAATTGGCCCCTTCATCCAAGTCATGAATATGGATTATATGTCGTTAAGATACCACCCCACTTCTTGGAGCTGTACATATGCATTCACATAGGCACACACATTCAGCATTTGTCTGTGTCTCCAGCAAGTTATTATCCATCCCTAGTTGCCCTGAGTGGGTGGAAGTGAATCACCACTTTAAACCGTTGGTCATACATTATGATGCTTACTGTTCCTTTATCGTGATTTGACGCAACGGAGTGGATTGCTTTGAGTTTGAATTCACATTCTCAAACTGCCATGTTGGGATTTGTTTTCTGGTTTAATTAATCCAGGTCTCTGGATTCT